GATACCGGCTGCCATGCGCCACTACGACAGCGGCCTTATTGCGTTTCTGCGGCGGAACGCCAAGTTATTACCGAACAGGTGAACGATATGCTGCAACGCGGCGTCATTCAACCTTCACAAAGTCCATAGGCCTCACCTGTAGTGCTCGTTAAAAAAAGGATAGTTCCGTTCGCTTCTGCGTGGATTACCGGCGCCTAAATAAGATCACTCGAAAGGACGTGTATCCTTTACCCAGGATTGACGATGCCCTTGATACTTTACAAGTTGCCGAGTTTTTTTTTTCATCATTAGATTTGCGCTCTGGTACTGGCAGGTCCCCCTTGCAGATGCCGATCGATCAAAAACAGCCTTGGTGACACTGGACGGTCTGTATGAGTTTATTGTCATGCCTTTTGGCCTCTGCAATGCACCTGCCACCTTCGAGCGCATGATAGACTCGGTTCTTCGAGGTTTCAAATGGCAAATCTGTCTCTGCAATCTCGACGAAATTGTCGTCTTTGCGCCAGACTTTAGAACACATCTCGATTGCCTCAACCACGTCCTCACGTGCCTGAAGAATGCTCAGCTCCAACTCAACCTCAAGAAGTGTCACATCGCTGGTCGGCAACTTACGATTCTCGGGCACGTCGTATCAAAGAACGGTATACTTCCAGACCCGGCTAAGTTACGTGCTGTCGCCGACTTCCCCAAACCAAAGAATATGAAGCAGTTACGGAGCTTCGTGGGGTTATGATCCTACTTTCGCCGGTTCTTGCGCAACTTCGCTTCTATCATTGCGCCTTTGACCGAACTTATAGGCAGAACCCCTGATATTTCGTCATGGTCATCTGAGTGTGACCAAGCCTTCTGTACCCTTCGTCGTCTCCTCACTTTGCCACCAATACTGCGTCACTACGATCCTACGGCAGCAACTGAGGTCCACACCGACACCAGTGGTGTCGGCCTCGGTGCGGTTCTCCCGCAACGCAAGCCTGGATTCGCCGAGTTTGTCGTCGCCTACGCCAGCAGAACTCTCACCAAGGCTGAATCAAACTACAGCGTCACCGAGAAGGAATGCTTGGCAATCGTTTGGGCGCTTGTCAAGTTCCGCCCATATCTTTACGATCGTGCTTTTGATGTAGTAACGGACCACCACGCATTATGCTGGTTATCTTCGCTTAAGGACCCATCGGGTCGTCTTGCCCGTTGGGCTCTTCGGCTTCAAGAATATGACATTCGCGTTGTATATTGTTCCGGCCACAAGCATACCGATGCTGATGCACTGTCACGATCTCCCCTATCCCCGGCCATTGCATCTATTTCCTCGGACAACACGTTGTCAGCTCTTGACGAGGACACCATCTCTTCTGCACAACGCAAAGACCCATGGATCGCTTCGCTTCTTGACGCGTTTTCCAAGGCACCGACACTTCCAACCACTCGAACCCTGCGCCGCCAGGCTCCGCACTTCAGTATTTGGGATGGCCTTTTGTACCGGCGCAACTATTCAGCAGATGGTAGGAAATGGCTACTAGTCATTCCCCGAACGCTGCGCTCTACCATCTGCGCGTCGTTTTATTCCGACCCGCAATGTGCTCACGCCAGTGTTTTCAAGACCTGCGAGTGCCTACGAAAAAGGTATTACAGGCGCGGAATGTTTACCTTCGTCTGCCAGTTCATTCGCGGCTGCCACGAATGTCAGCGACGGAAAAACCCGCCAGATCCTGCTACAGGTTCATTGCAGCCACTTCCATGCCCAGAGCGCCCATTCGACCATGTAGGAATTGACCTCTACGGACCACTACCATTAACAACGCCAGGCAACCGATGAGCTATCGTGGCAGTGGATCATCTAACACGGTACGCTGAAACTGCTGCTCTCCCCACAGCTGCAGCACAAGACGTTGCAACTTTCATATTCAATCGTTTTGTGCTTCGTCATAGTCCTCCTCGAGAGCTCCTCAGTGACCGAGGGCGTGTTTTCCTCTCCGATGTAATACATGCACTTCTTCAACAGTGCCATATTGTTCACCGGAAGAGTACAGCCTACCACCCACAGACGAACGGCTTGACTGAGTGGTTTAATCGTACTCTGGGGGACATGCTCGCTACGCATGTCGCATCTGATCAAACAAACTGGGACCTCGTTCTCCCATTTGTGACATACGCGTATAGCACCGCTACGCAAGTCACTACCGGGTTTTCCTCATTTTTTCTCCTGTACGGTCGCCAACCATCGCACACCATTGACACTTTACTGCCATACTCGCCGGATCCTTCTGAATGCAAGCCTGTCTCGGAAGCCGCTCGTTACACAGAAGAGTTCCGCAAGCTAGCCAAGCGGCTTACTACATCCAACCAACAGTGCCAGAAGGAGACCCGTGACGACGACCATCTTTCTGCACTAACGTTAGTTCCTGGAGCACTTGTATGGCTTCATGTACCGCCCTGCGCCCCTGGTGTATCACCCAAGCTACTTTCTAATTATCATGGTCCCTACCGCGTGGTCGAGCGTACTTCACCCGTGAACTACGCCATTGAACCCCTCACGCCACCGAGCGACCGTCGTCGGCGTGGCGTGATATCGTTCATGTAAACCGTCTGAAGCCCTACTTTGACCCGCTTGTCCCCACGTGTTAGATTGCCAGGATGGCTTCAACTTTTTTACCGGGGGTAATTGTAGTGAATAAGAAAGACGTTGATACCATCAGGTCAGCTATCATCAACACAAGAAAAAGGCACGATATGGGCGATCAAGCACCGTCATCTGGGTCCGCCTGCGTTCTTTTAGAGCTACCACCCGCTTGCTCAGTCCTTCAATTGGAATACCCCCTTTACAATTGGAATACCTCAGTACGGCTGCGCGTGAAAAGTTATGCAAAAATTCAGTAGAAACCGTTCTTCCTGTTCCCCTATATAGAACATTATATCGTGTAGGCCCAGGCCAAAATGTCTTAAGCCGTGTAAAAAAATGGAGGTATCACCTGGAGCGAAATCCTTTTCATTAAATTGCACACTGGGACCTTGCTCGTGAAAACATGGATGCAAGAAAAAGGCTCATTCGTTCCTTGGGGAGTTGATTGCCTTCTCTGCAGAAAGCCGGAAAGAATTGAACACGTTTTCCTCGACTGCTGGGACGCTGTCTTTTTCTGAGATGTTCTCCAAAGGACTTTGAAAAAGGATCTGCCTCTTGATGCCCATGGCATCAGATTTCTATTAGTATCAAATGAAGAACGAATACATTTTGACCTAGTTATATTACTGGGCCTGCACGGTATATGGAAATCTAGAATGGCGGTGCTCCATGCTGAAGTTAATGCACGTTTGGTTAGGCAATACTTCTTTCAATCTGTCTGTTCGTTTGTGGCATCACAAAAGGTTCAACATGAGGTGCCCGAGTGGCTTCATCAAGTAGAAAGCCTTCTACACATGGAGGAATTTTAAAAATCCTGTTAAATATGACGCTTTTTACCTCTTTTCTTTGTTTCATGTTTCTCCTGTTTGATTTATATTTGTTTTTGAATGTTGTGTGTACACAGGCAATAAAGAATAAAAAGATGTGTAGCGTAGTGGTAAAGACACTCACTTTCGGAGCATAAGGGCACGGGTTCAAATCACAGCGTCAGAAAGAGAAAAATTTTGTTATTTTATTTATGCTGAACACATTGTCGGGTCTGACCAACCACTCGTGGCGCTGAAAGCAGCGCACTAGCTGGGCTGCAGGGCGCTACGAGAGTGTCCGCTCTTTATGTAAGTATGTTTCTCAATGTCGCAATGTTAGCGTGATTGTCCCACTATATTTTGGGCAACACAACATTGCGCCTCCCAGAGGTGCATTCAATGGTGTTAGCCCTTTTTCAGGAAGGTTCTTGCGTTCCACCTGCAGCATTGAAATTTCCACTTTCGAAGGCAAAAATAGTGGACATGCAGAACTCTCGTGCAGATCGTTTTGCTTTTATCAAATATTTTGGATAAATAACAGACAAGTTATCACAAGTGGTTCTCGCATTATGGCGTGAAAGCGGCTGTCAGTGCTGGTACGTCGTGAGCACGGTGAAATTGAATAACAGGCTTCGTAGCGACGAGATGGCATAGCGTTTTCTCGATGCATGTGTGCATAGTGTGCACTATAGTGCTGATTGAAATAATCGTGTGGCTCACTGGTGCTTCGGCGTGGCAACTGCTCTTTGGCGCTCGATATACCCACTGTTCTGCCAATTTTTTCGGTGGTTATTTTGACGTGGCCTAGCAAGGCTAATTGCACCTAGCAATACCAAGGTTTTCCATTTCACGAATGCACTGTTAGTCACAACACGAACATTCAATCATGTCGGTAAGGTTTCAAATATTCTAGGTAACATTAGATTTTATATATTAGGTGTAACTACTCGCTTTGATATTAACTAGAACGTAATCCTGAAGTTGTTTGCAAATGTTCTTCTTGGTCGAGATCAAAGTCTCATATAGACAGTAAAACCCATGTTTCTTATCGCATGTACTAACGTGATCCTTAAACTTCTCTGGCGCATATACATTACTTTTGGTATTTTGAGAAAAGCTATTCTAAGGCGGTCGTTGCTTGCCTGTATCGCATAATACTTATGTAGCATATTAGTATGTTTGGGAGAGGGAATTTGAGAATTTTGTTATAGCCATGACGAAGGCAAATTCATCTGTCACAAAGCCGAGTCGGGGAAATTACCTTTGTTAATGAATTTTTCATTCTTTATAAAACATTGTGTTTCCCAACGAGTGCACAGAAAGGCTGAGCACAGTTGTGTCTTGTATCTTAGCTGCGCTTAGCCTAATACGTATCGCACATTTTGATACACTCGCTGCTTTCGTAAGCCCAATGCTAAAACTGGTCAATTTTGATGTTTACTGTACAAGGCGTTAAATATTAAGCCAATTTATTTCACACGTTTTCGCTAAGCATTTTAATATTTGGAATTGTTGTCGGTCTGTCGGCTCCTATTTGCAGGATTGCTACCAAGCGCGATTATATCAGTCATCGTACTCACACAAACGTAACGGCACCATGGTGGCGTGGCGGCAACCAGAGAAAGGTGACGAGTTTCTTCGGACGACCATCCACGTGTGTTGCGAACCCTGGGCAATCACGCATCGGTTGTTTGTCTCTCGCTCTCAGGAAGGTACCCTTTGCTTCGCCGTCTAAAATGGGCTTGATCAAGAAACCCTTGATTGTAGCCCCAAACCTGGCGGTGAGTTTAACTGAAATGAAAGGAAAGATACGAACAAAGCGAGAAAAATAAATAAACTGATATGGTAAAGCAGTGTCATCACAAAAGAAAGCAAACTGAACATGCAAGAGTCAAAGGGACACAACAGAGAAACAATGAGTCGTTTTATATTGAGAACCTGCACTCTGAAAATTCCAATTGCATAAGGTTCTTTATCATACGTTCATTGTTAGCGAAAAAAAATCAAGATTGTCCGCAACCTTAATTTCCTCCCCAACGTCTTCTAACGTTCTCTTTCATATTCAAATTTCGCACTGTAATCTCCGCCCATGACGTGACGAATTTCCATAATGCATTTTTGTATTTTCGCAATGTTGACTCGAAGAAATCTTCTGAAACTTTGTATGCTAAGCCTGTGGCACCTACAGATTACAACGAACTGAAATATTATCGATTAAAAGCCACGTAGAGCTTAGTAGACGCCTTCAAACTTTAATGTCACAGTGTTTGGCGCGGAAATGTCAAGGTGGCGTTTCCAGCCACAGTTGACTTTCGCAAGTTTTTTTGCTGACCAAGTTTCGTGCCGTAGTAAGTGTGTTGTTTCCGGGAATGTCAAATTGTACTTAACTAACACGCAACAAAACGCTTCGCTCTTTAGTGTTTCTTCAACAAACATTTACAATCTGAATGTATTTTTGCTTCACGAACATTCATTTTTCTTCTTAAACATGAAGCTTGAGCGAGTTGGTAAGGATTCATTCGCCAATTGTGTGCCACATCAACATTAATTTTTTTTTCGCAATGCGTAGGATGAGAATTCAGGCTAAGCCAAGTTGTAATAAGATGCCAGGTCCAAAGTGAGGTGTGGTAGTTAGCTTTTTCCAAAATCAAGGAATCGAATTGTTTGCACAGCGCAAGACACACGATGATATAAAAAAGGATGCAACGCGGGCGCTGACTATGACTAAACTTTATTGGCAAAACGCTCCAAAAACATAAAAAAGCACACATTAGTGTAACGCACAACCTATTGCGTGAAAGTGAGCGTTGTTAAAGTTTTATTTCGCTGACTATTTTTTTGTTCTTTGATTGTGATGGCAAGGGCTTAGAAGCTCCCGTTTACACCACAATATGCCATTTCATAGAGTGTGTGACAACACTGATTCTGGCGAATAGGTTGGCGCATAATGGCTTGTTAAGGCTTTTAGATTTGAGTTTAACAGGAACTTAGGAACAAAACGACTGTTCACGTATGAGTAAGTATAATTTCCAAATCGTGAAAACAGTAGACTTCTACCGCGACATGAGACTTGGTAAGGGAGAAAACCCGCGAAAGGAGAATGCGGGTGAAGAAGTAATTGTGAGACTCCCGAAGCAAGCAATTTTGCATGGTAGAATTTGCAGGCGTCTACTACGTCCAACTTAGCTTCTAGTTGATAAATATGAAACCCGCCGGGGTGGTCTGGTGGCTAAGGTACTTGTATAGTGACCCGCAGGTAGCGGTATCAAATCTTGGTTGCGGCAGCTGCATTTCCGGTGAAGATGAAAAGGTTGTAGGCCCGTGTGCTCAGATAATGAAACCCAGGTGGTCAAAATTTGCCGAGTCCTCCACTACGGCGCCTCTCATAACCATAGGGTGGTTTTGGAACGTTAAACCCCACATATGAATCAATCATTGATAAATATGAAGATCTTTGTCTTCAATGGGTACGCTACACCTTCCACACAAAGCATTAGAAAATTTCATTAGGCCGATGTCAGAAAAATACAAAAGCACATTTCGGAACTTGCTACATCCCGCTATATTTTGGCATATTTAAATCATTAATTTTCTTTGGTATTAAGGAAGACATAATAGTGAAAATATAGTACTAGAGTTCTCAGAGCACCGCTTATCAATCCAAACCAAGTGCTTTTTTTCCTCTTTAGTGTCCTTAAAAAAATTCCCACAGTTCCCCTAAGAAAAAGGAATAAAGATTTTCATACCATACCCTACCCGAACGGGATCGTGAGGAAGTGCGAATGCATGGCGTAGCATTCATAACGGAGTTTAGCACGTGAGAACACAGTGCCAGGAGAATAATGTTTTCTTTTTTTCCTTACACCTCACAGCCAATAGCGTTGCTCACCACAGGGGTGTTTTTTTTTATTTGTCGCGAGAAACGCGGTACGAGTTTGCAGCTCTAGTAGTTAGCTTGTACGGTTGAAAAATACTATGAAGTGAACAAAACAAACAGCGTTCTCGTCCCCACGTAGCCGTTTCACAACGGCGTATCAAACAGCGTATAGCGGAATGGGCACCTCACCGCCATTCCAATGTCATTGCAGGAAAATTAAGATTTGCCGCAATTTCATTCCTTTCAATTCCTCGAAAAGCAAAAACAAACTGGTCCATTCCCACTCTTGGAATGGCGGGGCCGTTCAATTCCATTCTTTCAATTCTTCATTCTAGGAAATTATTCTTGATAGTTTTGTGGGGTTAAGAATGAACAACCACATAAATATAGTGTCATGAGATTCATGAAAAACTCCAAAAGTACGCAAAAATTGTTACCAAGGTCGAGAGATAGTAGCTCGGTGGCACACCTCGTGTAGTAAGACTGCCATAATTTTCATAAGAGCAGTTCTACTGCACATATAGTGTAGTAACAGAGCGCTCTATAATTGCTGGTATTCCATGGAACAGTAAACCACCACTCGAACACCTTGTCCTTTACATAAAATATGAAACAAAAGGTACTGCTCGTCGTCACTCACGCTTACAAAGCGTGCCTCCCTAGCATGGAGGGGGCGATAATTCTGAGTTCACCTGTGCGCAGGTATGCAATGTCACATATCTACGCAAAAGTTATTCACGTCTGACAAGACTAACTGCTTGTGAGATAATGATCAGGCCACGCATAATGTATTCTCCCCTTTGATGTGGGGTAACAATGAGAACAAACGTGCGAGAATGATTTGTTTCTTCCTTCAGTATCTGTTGGGATAATTTATTTGTTTTACGCGTACTTAAGCCGTGGTTCCTCTTTTACGAATTGGCAGATCGTTAACAATTTAACACCATGTCTACCCTTGGCTTTGGCTAACTAAATGTCGACCTAGAGAGAGCGTGCGGTCTTCAACTTAGATAATGTAGTAAGGCCTACATGACTAATTTGAGCATGATATCATAGTAGTAGCCATTGATGGTGTAGAGAAATACTCCCCAACGTCCTCTTTGCTTGGTGATGAGAATAGGGATATAACTGAAGTCGTAGAAAACGAAGTGAAGTTACAAAACAGACGGCAGATCTCACGTAAAGTGGGGCTAGAAGATATGCGATGCAGGAATGAGGAATGTTCAATTGTCAAGTTAAATCAGCGTAAAGTTACGAGGTGGACATCAATTATGCCGTACACGGCTTCCATGTCTCGATTATTTTGTTTGGACATGTCATTTACCGTCGTCGTCTATTTACGTCACGTAATGCCAAAATTGGTGCAAGTGGAGCTGACGAAACGCCCATGAGCGTGCTATGAACGTAGTATGTATTCTTGTTTTACATTACACGCATGCCGTGTATATTTTGTTTAAACATGTCATTTACCTTCGTCGTTTACTCACGACACGTTACACAAAATTGTTATATGCAGACACACCAAAACGGCCACGAGCACGCTATGAACGTAGCATGTAGTCATGTTTCACACAACAGCATATCATGATTATCATGTTTCGTTCCGTCATTTATCTTCCTCTTTCATTCAAGTTTTTCTTTCACATGATACGCATATAGTGATTACCATATTTGGACATGTCATTTACATTAATCGTGCAATGACGTCACTTAATACGAAATTTCTTATGTGTAAAAATGGAGAAACGACTGCTAGCGTGCCATAAGCGTGGAATGTTGTCATGTTCTCACATGACACGCACGACATGTTTATCATGTTTTAACGTGTCATACACCTTCGTCATAAATTCGTGTCACGTACTACAAAAAGTGGTGTATGTCAAGCTAGCGAAACAGCCGCGAGCACATAATGAGTGTGGCATGTAGCCACGTTCTAACATTAAACGCATATCATTAATATAATGTTTATGCCAGCCACATAGCTTAGTCGGTAATTCGCGTCACGTAACACAAAATTCTGTATATGTCAACCTAGCGAAACCGCTGGGAAGACATCATGAGTGTGTCATGTAGTCGTGCTGTTACACAACACGCATTTCTTGATAAAAATGTTTGCACCAGCCACATGCCTTAGTCGGCCATTCACGTCCCGTAATACCACATTTTGTTTATGAGAAGCTCGCAAAACGGCCGTGACCGCATCGTGGGTGTGTCATGTAGTCATGCTGTTCATGATACGCATGTCACGATTACAATATTTGCTCGTGTCGTATACCAACGTTGTCCATTCACGTCACATAATACAAAAAGTTGTATATGTCAATTTAGCGAAATGACCGCCAGCCTATTATGAGGGTGGCATGTAGTCATGTTCTTACATGACAAGCATACCATGACTACAATGTTTGCACGTGTAATTTACCTTTGTCGTAGGTTCGCGTCACGTAATATCAAATTTGGTATATGTGGAGTAAGCAAAACGGCGGCAAGAGCATCATTAGGGTGGCACGTAGTCTTGGTGCTACATTAGCCAAGTTAGCCAAGAAATACTTCGCATTCAAAAGAGATTACGCCCTCCCATTGCTCCAAAGAGGGAGCACTGGCAGTGTGAAATGACAATTGCTTTCGGTTCTAGGTTCAGTAACGTCTGATCTTTTAGGCTTGATGTCCAGAATGCTTCATCTTTCGAACGTGTTCAGCAATTGGGCAAAACTTTTAGCACCAGGCACACGTCGTAACTAAGTGCTTAAGAGTTTATTATAACTGCCTAAGAATGCCTGAGTGCTTGAAATCCACAAGAGGTACAAGTTGAAAAAAGAACTTTATTTTGGTTGTATTCATCAAATTTTTGAACGAAATGTTAAGAGTGAAATGAGCGATTTGCCATTTAGTTTTGGAACCCTAATTGGGACTG